TATATATATATATATATATATATATATATATATATATATAGGCCTATATATATATAAATTTTATATTCAGATATTCTTTATTGATATTCACCTTAACGTAAAGGTATAATCAAAACAGAAAGAACAAACAACAGAATTAAAAACAAGGCAAAACCACACATAAAGTATATACAAAATAACAAGAAGCGTAAAGTAGGCTGTTAAGCAACAGGTTTACTGAAGTATATTCAGTAAATGTTCGCCATAAAGTGTGGACCGTTTTTTTGTGGGATGGTGGGGTTTGGGCGTACATAGGCATAGGTCATACCATAGAAAACAAAGCTTAAAAACATTGTCTTTGAGTATGTTCTTTACATACTTCAAAACCGTGATTTCACAACCACCTCTGCCCCACCATGGTTGGGGCTGAGGTGAGAAAATTTGAGGAAATAGTACCTCTAGATGGCCGGATCACACTTTTACATAGTAAAATTCATCATCATCATACCACCATTACATAGTCAAAATGAAACGCCAACAAATTTCTCATGTACTTTATCAGGGATATACTTAATATCCAGGACAACTTGGCCTAACTATAATTTACTAAGCTTTAACTATGATATTATCATCAACAAATCACAACTTTATTTTTCGCCTTTAGCACAATTTTCTTCACATTTTATCAATATTACTATTAATTATCACTATCATCATCATCACCATTATTATTATTATTATTATTATTATTATTATTATTATTATTAGGCCTATTATTATTATTACTATTATTATTATTATTATTACTAATTGTATAGTATTATTAAACAATACTTTTAAAAAAAAGCTTGCAAAAGGATAAAAACTAAACTGAACCAACAGTATCACATTTCTGTATCTTAAAAGACTTGGATTTATGTATTTTTTTTTTAATCACGCTTAAGCATGTGTTATAGTTATAGTAGGCCTAGGCCTATGTATAACGTGTACTGGTGCATTTTTACGTATTTTAGAAGTATTCATTTTGAGTGATCCCAGGAAATAATTTGTATTGGCTCAAAAATAAGCTTTAAAAAATTAACACTGTGTACAAAGGGGGAGGTGGGAGGGAGCCGCAGCTCCCATGGCTCCCCCCTGGATACGTCCCTGTAATATGAACAGGGTAGGGAAAGCAATTATTCGATTTGTTGTTGTTTTGAATCGAATACGTCCACCACTCTACCGATTTAGATTTATGTATCATAGTGAATGTGCATTATATTAATGCGAGCGCTGGAAGGCGTTCTTGCGTCATATTATTATTCATGGTATATTTTATTCAAAACGATACAAAAAGGAGAAAGCAATTGACAAAAATTGAATTGTAGCCAAGGCTAAATTGCTCACAATTTACAATACAAAAGCGCTTGCACTTTCGCGACTTGTAATCAGTGGGCGAGTCCAGAATTCAAAATAGAGGTCCAGGGAGGGACTTCGGGTTCAGGAATCCAAAATAGAGGGGGGTGTCCAGAGAGAGACTTGCGCAGAAATACAGCCATGGTTGGGGCTAAGAAAAGAAAATATATGATTATGGCACCTCTACATGGCCGGAAATGGCACTCTCAGACTTTGACTTATGCATAGGTCAGCGTTTTGCACTGGCTGCACTGGCCGTAGCTACGCCACTGACAAGCACACTTATCACACATTTCAAGATCGGCTCTCAAACCTTTTACCTACAGCCCTGCGTACGGGCCTGGCCTACTACACAGATGTCAAAATGTCAAAATAAAAATAATATAATTGAATGCAATTCTCACTATTTGAATCTCTTTCATTTCAGTGTCTCAGGTCAAATCTACAGATTCATCAAGAAGTGCGAGATCGATGTACAATCATTGTCACGGGAAGACGATGTATTAAATTGTCGGAACTCAATGTAGTATCAATAGCCGGATTTATGCGCCGATTATTGGGTTTATTCGACTGGAGCATCGGAATTTAATTAAATTTGCAAATTATGTTTCTTGTACAACGTTTTCAATTCAATTCAATCTTTATTGTCCAATATATAAAAAGTATAAATACCGCAGTCCTCTAACGATATTACATTTACACTCAAATAAAATAAGGCCTTAACACTATAATATTTTATATACAGTACCGTATTATATAAAACTACAATCTTTGTGTTTGATTTATATTACGTTTATATAATTCGAATGTAAAATTTCCGAGCATAAGAAATAAATAAAAGTTAACTGATGTGAAATTTAAAATACATCATTGTGTACTTCATTTGTCGTAATTGCATTAATAATATGTTTCATGATATTAATCAGTATATAATTGAATTAAATATATTATAACCAATTTGAATCAATTCGAAATACGATACCACTATTATAAGCTACTACAATATCTTATAAACACAATTTTTTCAAATTTTCACATGATAAAAACAAATTACGAACATTTTCAGAGCAAAGTGCAGCCGAATTCTACAAAACAGGAAATGACGTCGGTTGCTAGGCTACAGCGCATGCATATTCAGTAACACCTGTGCTCATTTGACTAACAATAAAAACTTTTAGCTCAGTTTTGACAAAATCGACCAAAAAGATTTTATTGTTAGTCTAATTAGAACAGGTGTTAATGAATAATCATGAGTATGCATGAGCTTGTTGCCTAGCAACTACGTCATTTCCGGTTCTGTATTCTGTTGTTGAGGGAGTCCTCGAAAACATTTCATTGCTAGTTTAATAGACAAAGTAGCCAATATTGATGAAGCAATTCTTCTTAACTTTTTGTTTATAAGTATATTTTAGCTATTGGATTTATTAAAGCAAACACAGACATTGAATAGATGAGAAACAATTCATAATTCATTTTGATCTTTATTTCCAAGCATTGAAATCAAGTTTTACATATATCACATGTACATTCGGCAAAAATCAATAAGTCAGATTTTTCATCCTCAAAATGTTTTATCTTATTGTCTTACATATGTCTATACTTATTTTTACAACAATATGACGGGTTATTTTCTCTATTATTAAAATAAAAATTAATAGAACTAATAAAATAATGTATATAAGCTTATATCAATACATAAAAAGCCTACAAGAATTAATAAATATTGTTAATATTTGTATACAGACTTTTCAGAGGAAAATATATTTTTTTTAAATCACACTATATTTAAACAATTATTTCATAATTATCCAGAATTTTTGAAAGAAGCTTGATGAGTGATAACATTTGTCTATCTATAAATAATAATTGCTCTTTCACCATCGAGTTCGGCTATCCTTTCCTGACATGTGGTATTATCGTCTACCTCACTGGAATAGAAAAATATTGATAAAAGATTTAGAAACAGAGAAATAATCAAAAATATCAGCATTATCATATTATTATATACCGTATTAATTGTTAGTATCATCATACCATTAAATGAATGAGGTTTAATAAATAATGGTATTGGACGGGCCTAGTAGATTACAATAGCGTGCAGGGACGTAGCCAGGATTTTGAAAGGAGGGGGGGGGGGAGCCGTTATGCGAATTACGTATGACCCCGGCGGGGTCAAGGGAGCGAATCCCCCTGTGAAGTAGCGCACTCTGTAACGTTCTTAGGACTGTTTGAAAGGATAAAGTGAAAATTGCAATAGACGCATTATAAATAAGCGCAAAAATAATTATATAATAAATCAACAGTGGCAGATCCAGGAATTCGAAAGAGAGGTGAACCAGGGAGGGACTTTCACAGACCGAGGAATTACCCACCATGGTGGGGCTGAGGTAAGAAAATTTATGATTAGGGCATCTCTAGATGGCCGGAAATTACACTCTCGCACTTCAATTTGAATATACTCTCGCACTTCAATTTGAATATATTTTTCTTTTTTTTCCTTAAAAAAATGTAGGGGGGGGGGGGCTTGAATCCACCGTTGCTCAAAACATTCTTTATCCAGAATAGTCATAATCACGAAAAATTTACATGAAAAATCAAATCACATCCTAAAAACAAACAGCAGTCACTAAGACATACATTAGGAGCCGACTCGATGGAGTTTAATGTCATACCCAGGGAAGGGCACAGATCTGTTTTGAAAGGTGATTGGAGCTGAGGTGAGAAAATTTGAGGAAATAGTACCTCTAGATGGCAAGAAATGACACTTTTAGTAAAATTCATCATCATCACATCACCATTAGTCAAAATGAAGCGCCAAAAAAAAAAATTCTCATGATCTTTGACAACCATAGAGATCTTATTAATGTATGTGTGTATCCCATAGAAAACAAAGCTTAAAAACATTGTCTTTGAGTATGTACTTTAGGCCTACTTCAAAAACGTGATTTCACAACCACCTTAGCCCCAACATGGCTGTGGCTGAGGTGAGGAAATTTGAGGAAATAGTACCTATCGAGATGGCCGGAAATGACACTTTTATATAGTAAAATTCATCATCATCACATTACCATTATAGTCAAAATGAAACGCCAACAAATTTCTCATGATCTTTTATCAGGGATCTACTTAATATCCAGGACAACTTAGGCCTAATTATAGCTTACTAAGCTTTAACTATACTATATTATGATCAACAAATCAACTTTTTTTCGCATTTAGCACAATTTTCTTCACTTTTTATTGTTATTAATATTAATATCAATTATTACTATCGTCATCATCATCATTGTTATTATTATTATTACTATTAGTAGTAGTATTAAACAAACATTTAAAGAAACTTGCAAAAGGATAAAAACGAAATTGAACCACAGTATCGCATTTCTATCTTAAAAGACCTGGCATGAGATTTATGGATTTAAGATTTTTTTAATCACGCTTAGGCCTATGTGTTCTATTAGGCCTATGTATAACGTGTACTGATGCATATTTACATGTTTAGAGTGATCCCAAGAAAGAATTTGTATTGGCTCAAGAATAAGCTTTAAAATTTTAATACTGTGTACAAAGGGGGGAAGGGAGCCGCGGCTCCCACGGCTCCCCCCCCCCTGTTACAGATGCCCCCCCCCCCCCGGATATGTCCCTGATAGCGTGAATAAATTATGTTAACATTCGATTATTAGGGTAAATAAAATGTGTGAAAGTGTACCATTCGATAGAAATGAATATATAGATTCATAAATATATTCAAAAATTGGTGGGGTTCATGGGGAAAGATTTTAGGGCTTAGAATCGCCCATGTGCTTTTTGAACACAATATTAGGAATTGGCTATCAAAATAAATTTGTTTGGATGAAAATTAATATTTAGTTTGTTGTGGAATCGAACGATGGGAAGGGGGGATGGGGTCAATGTTAGTTTATAGGTTATGGTAACTCGGGCTACATGAGCAAGGCTAGTTGCTTTTAATTTAAAAAAAATCAAAGAGAGAGAGAGAGAGTTCTTAAACTGTCACTATCTGGTACTTTTAATTTAATTTTTTTTCATATTTCGACTTCCTAGTGGAGGGTCTCCATGAGCGTTTTTTAAACGGATACCGGCGCTCTATTATTTTTAAATATCATTATTATTATTACTAATATATAAGATGTCAACTGCTCTCTATTTTAAAAGAAATGCAATTTGACAGCTGTAGCCAGTGGCGGGAGAAGGGTGGTAGGTCATGTGCAAACGTTCCCCTAAATTATTCAAAATTATTTTGAAAAATGGAGAAAAAAAATATGGTATTTAAATTTAAGTCTGAGAGTGCCATTTCCGGCAGTGTAGAGCATGGAGGTATACAGAGGTGTCATAATCATAACTTTGTTTTACCCCAGCCCCAACCTTTGTTGGGGTTAGGGCTGGGGTGGTCTAGACCCTCCATTTCTGAAAGTCCCTCCCTGTGTCCCCTCTATTTCGCCACTCTAGCTATAATTGATATCGACATCATGTAGATACACATCCATAACGATATTAATATCACTATTGACATAGACGGTGTCATTTGGGTCTACCCCTATCACTTTCGTTGTCCTTTTAAAATAAAAGGCCCCATAGAATATATTTTTGTCGGGGTTTCGATTATTAATGATTCGTGCACCCGATACTGACAAGATTCCAGAAAAATAGCATACGAACAATTGTTCGTATTGTAATTGTTCGTATTGTCTGTTTGTTTGTTTACATTTGTAAACAACGAACGAAAGTTAACAAGCCCCAAGCTGTAAATAGCGTTTCTTTCTTTAGTCAGTTTCAGGTGTTTGGAGGTTTCAGCGAGTCACTTGGAATGTATGTTGTTGAATAGAGTGCAGCCATGTCAGTGCTTGCCTCAGTCGATGGAAATAGTCAACTAACAAACTTAGTTGAAATAAGAAACATGTATGATGACAGAATTTCCATTTAACTATTGAATTAACGATGCAAAATATCCAATACAGTAGGCCTACTCACATTGTTTTTATTAAATGTAAAGTCTTCTTCGAAGTCTTTCAACTCCGCATACAGTATTGTTTATTATGTAAAACGCCACCTGGAGAGGTATAAAAAACATTTAATTATTCTTTTTTTAATCTAAAGCGCCATTTCTTTATGATGATGAGGATGAGGACGTTGATGAGAATAATGAGGACGATGATGATGGAAATAGGTATGATGGTATTGATGATGATGATGATGGTAGTGGTGGGATGATAATGTTGGTGGCGATGATGATAATGATGAGGATGGTGGTGTTGATGATGATGATTGTAGGATGAGAATCGACTACTAATACATAGGTATAGGCCTATAGTATATAGGTTGTTATGCAACTTTTAATTCTTCAAAAAATTCACGATAAACGTAACAGATGATGTAATAATGACGTTCTGCGTAGAAAAGATGATAAACGAAACGTATACAATGTTGAGTCCAAAAATGGAGCGACTCGCTTCCCAGGTAGTTCCCCTGTTAACTGCAGGGCCGTCGGACCCTCACCGGCCGCATGGGTAGTGGCTACTGTAAACCAGCTGCTATCCTCCGGGGTATCCGCCCAGTTTGTCGAAACCCAGTTTACCGAGTCAGTGCCCACTTTGCCAAATCCAGTTCACCGAAATCGTAAGAACCCAGCTTGCCGAAACTCGGTTGATCAAAACAAAGTTGCTGACTGTTACCGTCACCGTTACTGTTACTGTTTATTCATCATTATCAAGCAATTATTTACATTTCACAAGGGAAAAAAGAAAATTTTGATAAATGAATGGAGGCCTGTATAGGTCCGGAGACACTTAAGCTCAGGCCACCTAAAAAAAGAAAAAAAAAAAACGATTAATAATTTGAGGCTATAAAAAGTTTTTTAGTCAGTGCAATAAATACAGTAAATAAATAAGTACCAGTAAATTAAGTGAAACAAAATGAGAAGTTTGAATAACAAAAGTACAGCATACTGTGCTTTTGAAAAATGACGGGTGGGTCAGTGAGGAGACGTATTATACAAATTAAAAGACAAAACACTAGAAAACAACAATGCTATGAGAAAACACACTTGAAGGCATGGCCGAGGCTCTAGACACCCCTCCCCCCACCCACTTTTTTTCAGATTATTTTCTTTTCTTTTCTTTAGGTTTACACTATTATCTTTAAACTTTATATATTTATTATAAATAAAGGCATTTTATCAGGCCTAATTGTTTTGCTGAATTGTCGAATTCTTAATCAAGTTTGATTTAAAAAAAACAAAATGAACCATTAACTACAATAAGTTTCTATTTATTATACGAATACATGGTCCATCGTTAATTAATTTTATGCTGTTGGTAATGCTTTACTAATTTTAATCGACATTCGGCAAACATGGGTTTTGGCAAACTGGGTTTTGACAAACTGGGATTCATGGTTTTTTGAGTTGGCAAACTGCCATATTGGGTTTCGACAAAATGGACTCGGCAATCTGGAATTCCGCAAACTGGGTTTCGACAATCACATTCTGGCCTAGATCAGCGCGCATCCAGAGAGGCGAAAAAAAAGTTGTTCACCAAACATGGTTGGGCTGAGGTGAATATGCACTTATACCACACTAACTTAATCTTAATCCTCCGTGGATATGTGTAGTTATAGCCGCATGTGCTTATCCCCCGCCCTGCTCTATAATGGCCGGACCACTTGCAAAATGCGGTTTATGGTTATAATCCCTTGAGAATAATTGAAGCTGTCCACTGAGTATGTGCTACATTTTGTTACCAGACTCTAGGTTTAACATCAACACAGATTGTTTATCCTTTTGTGCATATAAATTAGTAGTGGTGGCGCCAGGTTTTGCTCGACAGGGGATCCGAGCGGGGG